AGTCATCCACCCCCGGACGTTTCCGCCGTCTGGTTTGGGGGTGTGACAGATTGGTATCAGAGCATTGTTCATAGTGAACTCAGTATATCAATCCATAAAAGATATACAAACTATAAATACATTGGGGCTGAGAGCTCTGACTACAAGTATACTTTTAAAAAATTTAAGTATTTTTACAAGAAGTATACTAACACTCATACATACAAGAACAGTGTCACAGTCGTAACAACATAAAAGTATTTGGATGTTGAACAACACAATCAAACCTGGGTAGTTATGTAATCATATCTGGGATTAACATAGCCTGATCAACTATATTGGTTTGAGATATGACCAACATGTGTTTCAGAGTGATAGTAGTGTTGTGACATGTCTAAAACTTACCAACTATACATATACAGAAGAACTCTAGAACATTACATAAAGTTAAAATGCTATAGGAGTATTTTAGGCACTATATACTAATAACAAACATGTGAAAACAAAAGAACCATTGTGGGTAGAACTATAACTATTAAGGGTATATTACAGTTATATATAATCAAATTTATATAGACTTAGAATATGTGATCTAGCTTCATTTCCTGTTCCTTGTTTGGTTGTGGATTTAGAGCAGGATCATTTAATCGAAAGTCGATTATACCCAAGTTACATATAATTAGTAGACATTTTGTAGTTATAGTAGTACCCAGAACAAGTCATACAGAATTCATTATCTGTTAACTGTAAGTTTCTCTCGTAGAAATTTGTATTTGCAAATCTATCGTTATTAATTATATTCTATATCTCTTATCCCTATTCTCGCTTAGATATCAATGGCTGGATTCCATCTACCCGGAGACCCGTACTTTCCCAATCAGGAAAATGGAGGATAGCTCGAGGATGAGCCAGAAGAGAATCATGAAATCCCCTTAGATGATGATTTTGCAGAAAATTTTCCTGAAGACATTGATTCGGAATCAGAAGCCTATAATCCAACACCAGTTTCCCAGAATCCCAATCCACGACAAAACTTCCTAGGCCCGACGCCTCTGTGGGCGATAAACTTAGACAGATGGAGTAACGAACATGGTCAGAACCATCCTTACCAAGGAGACCGAAGCTTCTACAATTTGGACACAGGAGGCTCAGCAGACAGAGCCCTCCCGATGTTAGTTTGTCGTGTGGCGCGTAACGATGAACAGGGAAGAGCTGCTATCGACCGAGTCATGCAGGTTGATGCTGCTACTGGAGTCAACACTGTTTGCATTCGTAACTTAGAAGACAGTCATCACGTGACAAGGGATCGTGCTAATTACTTGCTGAGAGAACTAGCGGCATCCCAAGCCGAAGTTAGAGAACTGCGAGAACGACAGATAACACAAGACAGACGTATGTACGAAACAGAACGCCAGTTAGCTAAATCCAGGGTCGGACCTAGTAGGAAGTAGTTTACACTCTACTCGTTTACTACTTACTCTTTTGGTTATAGTTAAGTCTGCGGATATGTTCTAGCGTTATTTTTCATGTCTTTCAGTACGACCGTGAAAAATTTCATTTTCTGTAGGTCAGTTTAATGTCGATGTTTTCCCAATACTTTGGTATATTGTAGACCTGCTCTAAGGTCAAGTTTTCATAAACTCTATGTAATTAATATACCAGTTCAATCAACATGTATTTTCATACTCTTTGAAAAATAACCACTCAATTTCATATTATCCTGTTACAAGTTGTACTTGTAGTAGACTTCGATTTCCAATTCTTTACAAGATTCATGTTGAACTAAGTGTTTTAGTTCAGAGATATCATATTCATGTTCACTCTTGATATCTTATCATCTTTTCATCTTTTAACTTTTATAGTAAAAGATGCCTCCTCGGAGAAACCCAAGGCGTGTCAATGTTAATGAAGCGCCAACACCACCTTCGCCACCACCTCCGCCACCACCTCCTCAATTTGACGCTGCCATGTTTCAGGCGGCGGTCACGACGACTGTTGCAGCTGTTATGTCTCATATAAACACCACTGGTGCAAGTGAATAAGGAGTTGGTGCGCATCCCTCCAACCACGGCGAGAGTCGTGGACACTCACGAGAGTGTACCTATAAGGACTTCTCGAATGCCAAACCCAAGACCTTTAACGGGACTGGAGGAGTGATGGCGTTAAGGCAATGGATTGAGAAAACAGAGGCATTATTTGAGATCTGCTCCTGCCCGGAAGGTAGCAAAGTTAAATTTGCTGCTTGTACCTTTGCTGATAGAGCCCTAACATGGTTGAACGGCCATGTTAAGTCACTGACCCTGGTAGTGGATAACTCTATAAGTTGGGAGAACTTGAAGACCATGTTGATGCGGGAGTAC